TCACAGGATGAAGATCACAGTAATATTGGTTGAGTTTCTTAGATCCACAGAAAGACAACCTAAAGGTCAGTGAGGTGTGAACCATAGAATTAATTAAGCCCAACAGCCAAATCACAGCCATCAATTGAACACACCGCTGTTTATTCATTATGTTGGCATAATGTAGAGGACTACATATTGCCACATAGCGATCATAAGCCATCACTGCGAGCAAGAAGATTTCGGTACCCACCACATCAATCAAGAACAATAATTGCAGCAAGCAGCCAACAAATGATATTCTCTTGACTTTTGACAAGAATACCTGGAGCATCTTTGGTACAATGACCGTTGGACAAAGGATGTCCAGCAGTGATAAATTACTGAGAAAGAAGTACATTGGAGTTTGGAGGTGAGCATCTGTTCCTATTGCCATGAGAATAGCCCCATTCCCTGCTAGAGTGGTCAAGTAGATCAGCAGAATCACCACAAAGAGGGCAATCTGTACTTCGGGATGGTCAGACAGTTCGGTCAAGTAGAAGTCTGTCATCACAGTAATATTGCCTTTCTCCATCTTTCTTCCAATCTGACTCATCAAGAGGAGTACCTGAAATAAGAGAATGCAAAAGAGAATAGGTGTTCCTGGATTTTAGAGTATGGTGGAGATGCAGGCTGTCACCTTCATCTCTTCCATCTACATGCTCTATCTACATACTGCAGAGGGTATTTGGGAATGGGATGTTAGGAAGAAGTCAACAATGGAAAGGAGATTACATCAGTAGACAGAGAGTGTCTCTTCCTCTTCATAACCAATGCTAATGGACAGCAAGTTAAACTTTGCTGCCTATATTATGAGTGGTGATGTCTTTGGAGGCTTTTGTGCTCCAGATCTCACCATTCCTTCATGGTCAATGATCAAGCATGATAGGAGTTTGGAAATCAGAACCTTTCTTTATTCCTTTTTGGTTGTTGCTTTTTCCCTTCTCTGATTACTTTGATTATAAAAATCAGTCCAAACAGTATCATATTATATAAATATTAACATAGGAAGAAAAGATTGAAGAGCAAATCCTCATTAAATTATGTCATTGCATTTAAAATAGCCTTTAGTCACTATCTAAATTAACAGAACAGAGTCAGCATATACTATGAATCCAATATTTGACTGCAAATATTCAACCTTCCAAGCCATCAAATGCAAATTCTTAATTCAGATTTAGATGAGGGAATGCACAAGACATTCAGATTGCTGCAACAGGTTATCTTAGAATAGCTCCTGTTCTTCTATAAGGTACTTGTCAGAAGGAGCAGATTAGTTCTTGTGAAACTCCCACTATCCTAACATCTGCAAATAACACTTTACCCTTCAAAATCTCTCTTACTAACAATACTAAGCAAGTTAAGGGTGTTGTTTAGAAAACATAAAGCTAAATGGGTTTCAGTTCACCTGTGATAACAATATAGCACAAAATACTATGCTATTTTCAAGGCTGCTACTAAGCCTTCCCGAAAAATGCCTTAAATTAAACCTTCCCATTCTGCTGTTGGGGGCTAAACATTATGAAATCAAAATGTACTCAGGTCATCAGTTGAGTACTTGGCACAGCTTGGATAATATCTATTCTCTTCTTTCATCTTGAATTCACTGACTCAGGACAAGCAATTCACTGAAGAATCGGACTGCAGACCTAACAAGGTAGACCCACGTTTCTTCATCTGTTGACCTCCAGAACGATTGGATTGCAGTCCCTTTACTTCCTCATATCGCCATAAGGATAATCTCGCACATCGAGGGGGCACTAATATATGGAAGACCTCATTAGATAGGCTAAAATTACTGTTCCAATAAATTGAAGTCACTTGCCTTTCCTGATTCTCCTGTATGTGCCAACACAGTAACCACAGCATGAAGAATTTATGTGGAGTCCAGCAAAATACTTGCATGGCTATTCAGGCATCAAATTAACAATCACTGCTCCAGTCTTCAAAGCAAAGTCTTTAATATTTCTAGCTGTTTGACCACTGAGAATCAATGGCATCAAGGTAAAGGGTGTATTCAA